CAGTGGTGTTTATCGACTCTGGGCTATGTCAAGGCTTTCTCAAGGCAATATGCATCTGAAGTACCATTGAGCTCCTGTTCTCTTTGGGATGTCTTGATGACTTTGCGATGTTTCTCTATGACTATTCTTCACCAATTTTGGTCTCCTATAGCTGCTGCAGTACTTTTCTGAAAATTAACTGATGTAAAATCGCTTTTAATCTACAAGTGCACCTTTTTTTGTCAATTTGAAACTTTCTGACTAGGAAGTTATGCCAAATATTCAATCAACATTTCTTAACTCTTCCCAAATTTAAGAGGAGATCACAATCGGTCTGACTTTCTATTGTAGTCTAAACTCCGCACAGCCTTCTTTTTGGCTGCTGTTGGGCATATTCTTACTCGATGGATGCAGTCATGGGCTTCAACTGCAGTCATGGGCTTCAACTAGTGTGATGGTGTGATGCGGAAGAGTTTATAAATCTTTTTTCTGGAATGTTCTGAATGGACCTAGGCTGTGGTGGTAGGTGCTTTGCAAGGCAATGGAAAGCAAGAAATGATATAGTTAGAACATTATGAAAAAATATGACTGAATTGGCTCACAACTGTCAATCAAGAAACTAAAATTCCTAAACAGTGAAATGAAAAAAATTCCATGATCAGCTCAGACAGTGGTACACACCTCCAATATTATCTCTCTCTACTTCTGCTATATTTTGATTCTAGGACTTTCTAAAGTTGGTTAGCAATGTTCTGAAGCATTCCTGAATGCAAGAATTAGCTTGAAATAATAATTTACCATGTTTGACAAATTTGCTTTAGACTAAAACACAGATATGGGAATTATGACATGGGTTAGTGAACTCCACATCATAGTCAATCCTTTCTAATTTTTGAGGAATGCATCTATAACTCTGTTTAAGGTCTATATTATTAGACTTGACAGATGTACCTTATTATATGTAGCCTTATGCGTACCAGCTTAGTGCTTGTTTCCTCACATGTACTTGCTTTGCATATGTTTGTCCTCTCTAATTGCATTGCCTTGAACAAAAGCCTACATGATGACTGAATGTGCAGCAAACTGGATTTGTTGTTTCTAATAATTCCTACCAATCTGCATTTTTGGCAGATATGGCCTCACGTAGAGAAGTTGGATGTGGAGGTCTTAACTGGAGATTTTCATCCTCTTTTCTGGAAAGCTGTATATTCTGGCCTACGCCGCTGAGCAATGAGGTGTGATCTGCTTTATCATATCTTGTAACTTGATCCATTTTTAACATCAATCAGTTCTTCCCCTCTTTCCCCCAACAATTTCTTGTGTAGGTGAAGTAAAGACTGAAGTGAAATAAATTCGGTTTAGCTGCATAGTTCATGATTAGTTAGATAGTTAATTTATTTGGTTAGAACTAAATGCACAGTTCGATAACCGAGTGTCCAGAGCTACAAATATTATGTCAAGACATGATCATGATGTGTACCAATACTGCTGTATAATTAGTTGCCTGAGAGGCCTGGTGAGCAAAAATTCCTGTTAAGTTGTTTTACTCATCCTTGCCCATTAGGCAATAGTCCTTTTCCTTCCTTGTAGCCATACTTAGCTGCAAACTCCTTCAATGATCTTCCTGGAAATTTTCGTTATTATGCCTTGAGAAAAACTAGAGAATGGTTCCATTTTTTTTTTTTTTACTTTCCTAAATTCCATCAAGTATCTAAGAAAACTTAGAAATTCCCACACGGCACGATACTAAAAAAATTTATAAAGTCAACCACCAAATGTTGGCACCAGCATTATCTTCACCCGAGTAAAATGAACCCAAGAAATGTTTTGTAACAAGTATGCATAACATGCAAAATGTCCTAAAACTTCCATGCTTGGCTTTTAAACTTAAGAAACAATATGCATCCATTACACAAGCACATAATAGTCTATCTATTAGACATTTTATCTCAAAATCCTCGAGTGACGCACACTAATTCAAAACATATATGATACTTGTGACAAATGAAATATCTTATGGCAACCAATTGTAGAAAAAAAAAGTAAAGGTGCTACCAGTTGAACATAGTCATACCTAACATCATTAGTATGAGTACAAGAACTTAAAGATGGTCTAGTTGCTGTGGAGCCATGCAACAATTGTAATTGAACCAGGAGAATTATCCACTTGTCTTGGAGGTGCATCTAGACAATTCAAATCAAATATTCGAAGAATTTTCTCAACTCAACCAATGAATAAAAGGTGTGTATCCTGTACAAACATAAATTATTTAATTTCTATAATTATTATTAAAATTTAAAAAATTTTAAATATAAAACATCCATCAAAACATATATAAATCTTAATACACATCAAACTCAAATTAACTAATATAAATCTTACAAATCTAAAACTTAATAAATCTATATTAAAAAAAAAAAAACTAACAAATTTCAACAATACTCAACAAATAAAAAAATTACTCAACAAATCAAAAAAAAAAAAAAAACTCAACAATACTAAAAAAAATTCAAAAAAAATTAATAATACTAAACATTAATACTCAACAAAAAATCAACAAAAATAAACTAAAAATTTAACCCAACAAAAACTAAGCAAATATTTAACCAAAAACCCAACAAATCTCAACAAATTTATAACAAAAAATTAAACAGTAAACTCAACAAAAATATTAAACAAAAATTATAATTTTATCGATAATTTATCAATATTTTGATGGTAAATGTTAATTTTTTTTTACTACAATCTGTTAATATTCTGTCTGTAATCCATCAATAATTACTAATGAAAATTTTCCATTAATGATAGTTTTAATTTTGTTAATTGAGTGTCTCTCTTTGTGAGCGCAAATGTGAAATAGATCTGTATAATGTTTAATGATATCAAGTCCTTATCAAATCATTACTGAATAAACTATTTCCAAGTTTCTACACAATGGTAAGTGGTAATTAGAGTTGCCATTTTTAAACTGATATCATAAAAAAAAGACAGTTTAAAAAAAATTTTATGAGTTTAGCAAAAATAAAATAAAAGATATGTTGAGTTTAGCGTGTGACTCTAATTTGATACAATAAATTTTTATATTTTAGACATGTTTCACATAATATAAATATGATATAAATATATGAATTATAAATTTTAATAGTAACTAAATTGATTTTTCTATGTGGTTAGTCTTATGGTACCTAGTATGGGATTGTAGTTACGATTCAAAATTGCAGGAATGTTGTCATTAGTGGTGTAATCGATTGAGTTCAAGTTAATACAGTACTAAGTTCAAGCTCGAGCTCGACTCTAAATTCGAGATTCGAAACTCGATTCAAACTCGATTGAATTTTTTTTAGCTCAAACTCGACTCAAGATAAAAATCGAATTCATTCGATTAAGCTCGATTAACATGTAAAAATAAGTTCGATTTCTATATTCGATAAAAACTTGATTATTTGTGCTCAAGTTAAAAATATTTTATCAGTTAAAATAATTAAAATATATTAAAATATAAAAACTTGATTAAGCTTGTGAATAACTCGAGTCAAATATAAAGATGCTCTAACTTGACTCAATCAATAAGTCAAACTACTCGAATTTAAGCTCGACTTGATAATAACTGAACAGAATGTGAGTTTTATTCGAATCAAACTCGATTAATTTATAAAAATTAATGTATAATTTACCCTAATTATCATATATTTTGGCTAACGAGGAACATTGTAAATCAAAATCTAATGGTTTTGAAAACCAGTAAAAAAAATAAATGGTTTTGCAATCAGAATGTAAGCATTGTTTTAGTAAAGGGAGAAAGGTACTCTATCGAAGCTGAACTCTTAAAAAGAACAACTTGTGGCAAAATAAATATTTTCAACGTTCTATTTTCTTTGATTATTTTAATTTCAGATGTCCTAAATTTTTTTTATAATTTTTAACAATCTTTACTCTTACTTCTTCTATATTTTAAATTAAATTTGCATTTTTTACTTTTGATAATAAAAAGTATTATACTTTAATAGTATAAAAAAATAAATTTATGATATTAAATAGAAAAAACTCAAAACTTATTTTGAACGTGAATGTTAAAGGGATAAAAATTAGAAGAAGCATAATTGAACGGTTGAATCGAAGGATAAAAAGGGAATTAAATACAATTTGGTACTTGAATTATAATAAGTTTTATATTTGAATAATGAATTTTTTATTTTTGATATTTGATACTTAAAGTATAACAATTTGAAGTATTCAAACTTTTTCTTTCATGTATCAATTTGTACACTAAATTAATACTGTTAATTACGTGAAATGTTTTTCATCTGTTGTTTTTGAATATGTTATTTATTAGACTAATTGTATTATTTTTTCATAGAATTTGGACTAACATAAAGTTTGATTATTTAATTACCGATTTTTAACTTTAATTTAAGTATTACATTGAGAATTTGAACATAATCTAAATATATAATTAATCCTAAAAATAAACTAAAAATGTAATAAGGGGTACACATGTTAATTTTGTTGGAATTAAGCATAAATAAACTAAAATACCCACTCCATGCATGTAATTTTAATGCTAACTATCAAAATCATTATCATCTTGAGCAACAAGAAAATACAAGCAATTAAAATGTGCATTTTCTATAAAAAAAATAAATTATGTTTTTTTTTACATCAACCAAATTCAAATATAGCAAACAAAAATCATAGATTAAATACAAAATATGAAATTCAAGATCATAGTGGAGCAACCTTATGGTATAGTAATAACAATAATTTCAAGAAACTAAATTATACCCTTAATCCATGTCACAACAAACAAGAAGTTATATCAAACATCTAAATTGGGTAAGAAAAGAGAGTTTAATTAAACTCCACAGTATTTTATACAATGTTTTTGCGAATACCAAACCATTTAATGACCAAAATTTAAAAATTACTACATATTAACAATAAAAAGAAGTTTCCAATTACCCTGCGGCAGCAACAAAAGGAATTGTCCGAAGACGTTTAGAAGGCCTTAGCCTAGTAGACTTTAAAGTGAGGGACAACTGGAATAATCAACCTCTGTGCTCCATGCACCTAAGGCAGGTCTCTCGTCATTAAGCTCATTAAAAAATGAAGCCATGTCCATGTTGTTCCATTTACATGCCTCAACAGAGTTGGAATCGATCATCAGCTGTTTGTTTGGGTCTTGATTTTCTTCATCCTCAAATCCCTTCCAAATCTCTCTATTAGCATTTGCTAGACTACTGCTTCCAGGATTCCTTTCATCTGCATTGTCTTGGTTTATGTTACTGATGATCTGATCATCAACACAGGTTTTCTTGCACATCTGTTCATCATTAACCTCCAAGGCTTTGCGCTTCTTGTCAGCGGATTCTACGTCTGCCGTGGAGAAGTAGCTTTCATGATGATCTGAACCAACTTCTGCTGTGGAGTCGTCTTGATGATCTGAACCCACCGCATCTTTGTTTTCGATTTTGCAGATAACATAATCGCTCAAACCCTCGTCGCTTAAGGAAAACTCATGCATAATCCAACGTCCATTGCTGCCTCGGTTTGATCTATCTTTCTTGCAAGTAAAACTGAAGTACTTATCAAACCCTAAAATATTACCGTGTTTATCCTTCACTTCTTTGATGCTTCGACCAAGCCAGGTTCCAGAACCAGCAGTCCTATCAATTCTAGATTTACTCTTCTTCTTCAACATGGTGAAAACCCAATAAGAGCATTTTTTATCTTTATCAAAAATATTCCACGGCTCTCTATTCTCACCGTAAATCTCACGTTCAATCAAAGCATTAGAGGGCAAGGGCTCTCCATTAATGGCGGGGGGAAGGTAGAACTGTAAAATCTCTTCTTTGGTGGGATAAAAGCGGTAGCCAAGGGGTAATGGAAACTGATCAGGAGAAACGATCAACATTGGTATTGCTCTCTAAGTCGATGTTGAATCCCTAACCCTAACCCTAACTGGGTTTATGATTAGTTACCACCTAGTACACCTATATATATAATTTTCTTTCTTGTCGGTAATTATTTCTTACCACCTAGTACTTTTTAGCACTAAAGGAATTACATATATACTACTGTCTTCCAGCTGGCTAGCAGTGTTCATGTGCATGGTTCCTGGTTTTAATTTTGAGACTAATTTTGTTTAGATTCCCAGCCGGTTTATCTTATTTGTGGCAAACGGCTAACCTTTTAGTTTTTTTTTTTTCCTTCCCATCAACCCAACTAATAATACTTCTGCTGTGTTCGATCCAATGGCATAAAAACAAAGCATATGGATTAATGGATATCCAATAATTTATTACGGACTATATTTAATTCCTTAAATTATAAATTTATATTTTCAATTAATAAAAAAATATGTTTTACACAAGTTATGATTATTGCTAAGAAAATACATCAATTTCGTATGCAATGCAATGTTCTTTTTTTCCTTTCTTCTTTTATTTCCTATCATATATACTTTCAGTTTTTTTTTTTTTTTTGAGTGAAATTTTTGCAACTTCTACTATATTTTTTTAAAACAAAATTATTAACTAAATAATCAAACAAATAAATTAATCAATAAATTAGAACTTAACTAAATAAATTCAACATAAAATTAAAACAAGCCCACATATAATGAAACTTAAACTTGGAACCTTAGAGTTTCAAGGACTCCTCCTCGCCACTAAATCAAAGTCTTGTTGGCTTAAGTTAATAGTTAAACATTTTATTTCCTTCTTATCAAATTAAGTGTTAAGAGGTTAAGTATAACTTCTACCAAACTTAAGGTTCCTGTAATCAATTTTTATTTGAAATTATGTCAATCTTACTCATATTCCATAGAGAATCCGACATTTTATTTAAATGGGGAGGGGATGTATATTATACTATGGGATTGGGATGAAGATGGGTATGATTTTAGATTTTTTTTATCTAATACGGGGACAAGTAATGTAACAATGATCCCATACCCATACCTATACCCCATATATATATATATATTAGTAAATAAATTTTTATTAAATAATATAAATTATTATTTTGATTAATTAGAACTAATATATTTTTATTTTAAAAATATATATTAATATATTTATAAAAATTATATAAATGTGCAAAATAAAATAACAAAAGCTAAAAAAATAAACTTTTATTTTTATTTTTTAAACGTTATAAGTACGGGAATTACCCAAACCTATTAAATATCCGTAGGAATGGGTGTAGATATCCTATTTCATTTGAAGTGTGCATCCAAATTCTCAGTTTTCATTTTGTCAAGATTGTCGGGTTGTGAGCCCAATGTATGTTACTTTGATGTGGATTTTGCCCCAACAAATATTTTATTTATTTATTTATTTATTCTTTAATAAAAACTAAATAAACATAAAAGAAAGAAAAGAAAATCAAATAGAATTTTTTGGAAATCTTATACAAGAATTGGGCAATGAGGAATTTTTGAGATTTTTTTTCTTAACCTACATGAAATAGGAAATGAAATAAAAAAGGATCACTGTCATAATGTACAGATCCGTAGACCTATCGCTAGACATGGATTAGAGGAGCTGTCATCAGTCTTTTTTTGTTTAGGTGTCATTGGCCACCTGATTAAATCTAATCTGCAAAATCAAATTTTAGATTTGGGAGTGCAATTAAGCGTGAAGAAAGTTATAGCACCCTTACAGCGCCCATCCCAAGAATGATACCATTTTGATTCCAAATTATTCAAGCCTTAAAAAATGTTTATGCTTTTATCAAAATATTAAATATTAAAAATTAATCTTAAAATTGTCCCAATAGTTTGGTAGCAATTTAAGATAATTCTCTCACCTTAGAAGTATTCATTGAGACTAAGGTCCCACTCTAAAGTGACTTTGTCATCAGATTTATTAAAGTGTCTTATTCAAGAAAATCAATAAGTCTCCCCAATAATTTGGTAAAACTTACTTTGAAGCAAATCTTCCAATAATTTGGTGAGGTTTTATTATAAAAAGATCTGTAAAAATTTTTGAGAATTTTATTAAGTATCCCGATAGTTTGGTAAGACTTAATTTGAAATAATTCTCTAATATTTTAGACGATAAAAATTATTATTTTTTATTTTTTAAAAAAATTGATTTATAAAATTTTTCAATAGTTTGGTAGATTTTATAAATTTTAAATCCATGAAAATTCTCTAATAGTTTGGTGGAATTCATAAATTTATTTGAAAATATTTTTTTATTGTTATTCAAAAATAAAGTAATAAAAGAAATTTTTATAAAATATTTAATAAATAATAAATTGCTTAGTAAAAAATCAGCAAAATAAAATAAATAATAAAAATGAAATAAAAACTTAAAATTAAAAATAAAATGAAAAAAAAACTTCGATTAGGTCAAACTTGAAGCACGAATTTTCACGTGGGTTGACGGATTCAAGCAAAAAAACTTCAAACTTCAACCAGGAAAGTTCATCCATAATTTGTACTGCTGATACCCATTTCAACCGGAATTGCCGAAGGAGCTTTTCACCATAAGTTTTGTGATCATCCTTATACAATGATGCCGCTAACTCAGAATGCACTGTCTGCACAAGAATATGATCCAGTGATCGCAGGGCATCCAGGGTACCCAAGGTCAGCTGCCATCCACAAAATGCAACAACATCAGCACTTGTGTTGGAGCCAGAGCCAGAGCTACTACAGCCAGCAGCAGCAACATTTCCATTCACCCAGGGGCAGTACTGGTTGTAATGAATAATTGGATCAAATTATATAGCCTCTTCATAATTGCTTTCTCCTTTTAGCAGCCCTCTTTCTTCAATGTTTCATCACCAAAGTACAAATAAGCATTGCAAGAAAGAGAAGGACGAGCACTGTAATTTGGAACTAGTCTGAAGCTTTGGATTATCTTTTCACCACCTTCGACAGACTCTATCTTGGCAAAACCATCAACTTTCGAACCACTGTCAACCCCTCCTAGAGAACGAGATAGCATTTTTTGGCTGTCACCATAAGGGTTTTCCTTATTTATTTCATCAAGGACAACTTCATCCATCAACCCAGGATATGGAGTAAATTCACCAGTTTGACCCTGAATTTCAGCATCTTCTATTCTGGGTTCCACATCACAGACTATACTATGTGTTTGATGCATAAAGGCGTCAGTTCTGTGGAATTCAGCTTCATGGATGGCACCTCCCATTGTCACCCTTATTATCACCGAATGGAAAATGATCCTAATTTCCAAAATCAGGAAAACCAGCATTTGTTTAACCTTCAACATTTTCTCATTCGAAACCATGGCTAGTGGACCATCTTGGAGGAAGGAATACAGAGAAAAAGGATACGAGTGGTAGTGGTGTTGGAGAGTGGTCTCGGTTGGCTAGAGGGCACTTGGGATCTTTTTTCATCTCCCCCTACTTTGATCACAGATTTATATAAGAATTCATACTCAATCAATTCCCCTTGAATCTATGATTTTATTTGATTTCTGTTTTAATTAGAATTGATTCTGAAATCAAATCCCAAAAATCTTTCTTTATCATTTTAATGTGAATTGATTATAAAATTAAATCCGAATAATCTCTCCACATCATTTTTAACGACAATTGATTTTGGAATTAAATCAAAAAAATCTCTCAATTATGGTTGAAGCCTAATTTCAAAAACATATTCCTAGACAAAATGGGGTGCCTACAATCACAGAGCATCAAAGCTAGGGTTTCTGTTAAATTGATTTTACCTAAATTAAAAGGATTTAAAAAATCTTTAAAAATCCTTGACAATCAATGGAACCCTAAAATTTTTTACTAGAAAATCCTTATAAATTGTTCTAAGGTAGACAAAGAACGGGGATGAAGAAAAAGATTATACGAAAACTCTTGAGAAAATAGGAAAGGAAAAATCATTCAAAAAAAAAGATACGATTTCATGTAGTAGTTTTTTTTTTTTTTTTTGGAATTCTTTGCAAAATTTAAAATTATAAAGATTTATTCTAGTAAGCTACGCAACCCAGCCTCTTAGTCGAGCCAACTTTAGTTTATTTTATTTCCAAAATAAAGTTTTACCAACATATTTGAAAGTCTTATAATTTCATAAAAAAATCAAATTTTAAAAAATAAAATAATATATATTTTTTTGTATAAAATCCTACCAACATATTGGATGATAATTTTCAACAAAAAAATCTTACCAACAGATTAGAGGATATTTTTGATTATAAACCTAGTTTATAGGTAATTATTTTTAGAAGCAAAATTAAGTGAATTCGTTGATGGAGCTTCTTCAAAGCGTGACAAATAGTCTCTTTAAATACTTTTGAGATAAGAAAAATATTTTTAAATTATTACCAACATATTGGAGTAATTTAAGAAAAATTTTTAATATTAAATTATTTGGTAAATTTTAAATATGTTTTAAGGCATGGATAACTTAAAATCAGACTAGTACTATCTTTTGAATAGGTGTTGTGAGGGTGCTATAACCTTTCTTACGTATAACCGTACTCTCAAACTTAAATTTTAGTTTCATAGATTAGAATTTACTATTTAAAGATACTATAGTTAATCTTGGGACTCCTTTTTAAATAAGATAGATTCTATTAGGTGACCAATCATAATTTAACAAAAAAGATTGGTGACAACTCTTTTAGGCTATGTCTAGTTGTAGGTCTATAGATCTATACGTTATGATAGTTTGATGACTCTCATGGGGATATCGAGAGTTAGACCAATAAATAATTTCTTGTTACCTAAACCTAACTTAATAAATTTAAGATTTTTTCCTTTGTTGTATTTTATTTGGTTATTTATTTATTCATTTATATATCTGTCATTCATTTGCACATATATAAATTGAGCTCTACACCCGAATTCTGTCCCTTAAGAGGGAGTAAAGTACCTATGACTTCATGAGATTTTATATCTTCGCATGGGCTAGCAAAAAAATCC